TACATATGTTGAATTGAGAGCGTTAAGGCCCGACCATAGGCTTAGCAATTGCTCTAGATAATTGATTGATTGAATTGTTATTGATATTTGATAGATTTAGAACTGTAAGCATGGTGAACCACAATCCTAGGTCTTTTTATCAATTGTTTTATTCCTATTTTAATTTAGACTACTTCCCTATCCCAATTTCGTGACATAGTTTAGTTTTTCCATTTCTTAGAGGTTAGATTGAATACCATCTCCCTGTGGATTCGACCCTACTTACCCTACTACATTGTTAGTTGGTTTTGTTAGGAATTTATTTTTGACAGGTGTACGACAACCTATCATGTATAAGAGAGGAAGAGAGAATGATTTGGTGCCCCAAACTGTAAAAAAGGAGGGGGGGTATTTAATTATTTATAGGAAAAATGAGTATAGGGAACACACAGAACTCTAAAAAGATAAAACCCTAGTTTTGGGGCGCCGTGAGACAGCAAAGTCCACTGTGGCGCGGCAGGTGGCGCCGTGTCACGGTGTACTTTTTTATTCGAAATGTGTGAGGAAGTGCTGAGAATAAAGAAAAGGCACCATGACACGGTGTAGATTACCGTGTCATGACAATATGCACCTTGCCACGTCAGCCTTTGCTGCGTCTCGGCCTTTTAGCTGCTACGCAGTAATCCAGTTTTTTTATGCGTTTTTAAAACTATGATAACTTTTGATTTGTAACTCAGAATAAGGCATATAATATATAATTGGAAAGCTTATCAAGTATACTTTCCAACCCAATTAGAATCAGGTCAAAATCATTTGTAGATTTAAGATATGGCCGTTTTAGTGAAAGGGTGTCGGTTTTGGGCCGAGTTTAGTATTTTGCTCATATCTTCTTCGTTTTAAATCGGAATTGGGCTTATGATATATTGTTAGAAAGCTTATTGAAAGGCCTAAACAACCAAATAATAATTGGACCAAAATTATAAGGAAACAAAATCATATTTTTCGGTTTTGTGATGTGGACACGAAAAGTGAAAAGTAAGTTATGGTTTAGGGAAATGAGCTAGGAATTGGATTCGTTTATGAAATGTATTGAATGGAAATATGGATTAAGCACTCTAAAGGTTAAATAATCAAACCAACCAATAATGGCGGTGAAAGGTTTTTTATCATCGGGTTTGGTTTTGGGGAGATATTTTTAGGTGTCTACAACTAAGGTTGTGGGTGATGTATAAGTAGTGTTGTCAAATTTCAAACCGAAACCGTTTCACTGCCCGAAACCAACTGACCCAAAAGAGAACCGAACCGATAACAAGCCAAATTTTTAAAACGGGTTAGGATCCTTGACATCATCAAGGTCTATTGGCTCCTTCCCCTATCCGGCTTCTACAACTGTGGGTTTGACGTCTGATAGGTAACACTCCCTAGCCATCTTTTGATTCCCTGTTTAGGGAGCCAACAGAGCCATCATCCCTTTCATAATTCAGCAGCTTGAGAGCTTGGATGATGACGATCTTACACTCCTTCAGAGTGAGGCGACCCAGATTAAGGTTGTAGGCGGTCAACTCTTCAACCACCAAAAATCGAATGACCATATGGCGTCCTTTTCCTTTCTCTCCCAGCTGGATGGGCAGGTCTACTCGTCCTACTACGTGCACGACTCCTCCCCCAAAGCCAACAAGAGGGTGAGAGACGTCACACATGTTGTCTACCTTGTACCTCAGCTTGGACATGCACTTATAGCTGATGATGTCAAATGAGCTACCCGTGTCAATTAGAATGCAACCAACCAAGTGGTTGGCAATTTTACATTCAATAACCATGGGGTCAACATGCGGCCAGTGGACATTTCCCCGATTCCTTTAAGTGATGACGACCTCTGGGAATGTGCTGGTAGACTCCTGACCTTCCTCAACACAATTGACATCCATTTTCCTCAAATGGTCCTTGGTGCCCCGGATGGTAGGGCCCCTCCTGCAAAACCACCTACTATGGTGTAGATCGAATCTTTGTTAGTGTCCAAGCTAGTAGTAGGCTGAGCAGTCTTTTTAGACGATTGCCCAGGGTTTGTCTTCAAGGTAACCTTGGACTTGAGAATGTAGGACTTTAACACCCCCTGATAAGCCAGACTATCCAATAGCTGCTTGAGGCTATAGCAGTCATTGGTGTCATAGCCAATGTCCTCATGGAAATGGCTGTATTTATTCTTGTTTCGATTTTTGGCGGAAACCTTCATAGCCGCGGGTTTGTCAATAGTCACCCGGTCCGTTATCTCCATGAGGATGGAGTAGCAGTCTTTATTAAACTCGTACTTAGGGACGTACGGTTTAAATTCCTTTTTTTCTTCTAGGACGGCTGATTAGAGTCGTCGACCGCCCAGATCTCTTTTTTCTTTTTGCTCTGTTAAGATTTCGGAGCCAGCTAAGCAGATCGACTCTTTTTTTGTTTTTCACCCTCTTAGAGTGTGACTGTCTGTTGGGCGAGCAGAAGTCGGTTGCTTGTATGAAGCTTTCCGCCTCTATCAGCGCCTCTTCAAGGGTAAAATCCCTCTTTCGAACGAGGTCAAACTTAAAGATTGACCAGTTCTTCAGACCCTTAAAGATGTCTGTGTAAGCAAACTCGTTAGAATGTCCTTGAATCTGGATTCTCACCAGAATGAACTGCCTGATGTAGGAGCAAAGTCCTTCTCTCTCCCTGCCAGATGGTGCTCAAGTTGAGGCTTGTTTCCTTGGGAAGGATGTTCATCAAGAAGTTTGAAGCAAATAAGAAGTTAAGCCTCTTGAAGCTATCAATACATTAGGCTGGCAAGTTGCTAAACCATTATTGGGCTATTCCCTTCAACATAGCCAGGAAACATATGCAAAATATAACATCATCCAACCCCTGTAGGTACATGAGGTTGGTGTAAGCCATGAGATGATCTTCAGGGTTGGTGGTACCATCATAGGCACCAACCAAGACATTCTTAACCTTGGCAGGTTGTTCCGCCTCAGTTTTCTGCCTGGTGAACGCAAAAGGTTGTTCGCCAAGTTTAAGCAGCTAGAGATGCCAGTCCAAGGGCTGGACATTGTATGTCGCTTGACCTCCGAAGAGGGACAACTTAATGTAAGGTAGGGCATACTGCCCATATGGCATCTGAGGCGCATACGAGGCCGACCCAATCCTCTTGGGGCATCAGTGGATGGACTAGCCGCCTGTATGACTCTCATGAAAGGATTGAGTATTCCTTGGTGAGCTTTTTTTAAAGCTATCTGGGAAGCTCGATGTAGAGGCCGACTTAGACAGCTGCTGGTTTCTCTTCTGCTCTATAATGTGCTGAGCATCAGATAATGATTTTTTGCTGCCATCCGATTGAACTTGCCGAATGACCTTTCTTGTGCCCGTCTGCGGTAGTAGGAATTTAGACCAGTCAATTGCAGGTGTGGCCTTCTCCTTCTGTTGTGGAGTAGGCTGCCTGTCCTTGACCGACTTTCTCCTCTCAGCTTGAGGAGTCTTCTTCGCCGACTAACCCTTGCTAGAGCAAGTCGTCCTTTTATCGATGAGGTCCTTGATCTCCCCCTTGAAACTAGTCATCAACTTCATGTGTTCATCCCTAGTTACGGGAGCAATCCCTCTTGCCGACTGCGTTTCCCCAGTTGGTGGCCTATTAGTTTTACTTGGACCGGCTTCATTGGTGTTCCGTTCCAAGTTGTCCCTAGGACGAATGCGTCTAGTCCTGAGTGATCCATTAGAGGCCATATATGTTTCGACTTCAACGTCGTTATCTGTATCATGGTATGAATAGACCTCCCCGTCAACCAAAGCGAGGCCGGTTGGGTTCAAGTGGCGGTATAGACTCTTGAACCATCATAGAGGTACTCTCCCCACAGACGGCGCCAAATGTTTTGAGATTTTCCTAGTCCCTCGGGACAGTTGCGTCATTAAGTCTGGAGTCTTCTATTTGTACCTGCAAAATAACGGAGACTCTTGGTGGTAGCTGTAATACCCCTCATGATTGCTTTAAAAGGATTTGATATACTACTCATATCAACAATGTGCATCTTCCTTTTAGGGAGCTCATAATCTAAGATACTTCATAGTTAAGCGTGCTTGGCTGGGAGTAGTCTTGGGATGGGTGACCTCCTGGGAAGTTTTCTCGGGGCGCGCATGAGTGAGGACAAAGTGCGTCGGAAGGACTTATGTTGGTTTGTGAGGATAGTTGTTGGCCCTTGATGCTCATTTCGTGACAATAGGCCCCTCCCTAATTTGTTTGGGGTCGGGATGTTACAAATGGTATCAGAGCAACCCTGCGACCGTGTGCTGACCGTAGATAATTAATCCTTTGTCAGTCGCCTAGCGGGGGAGAATTCTGGGGCCATATGGCCGTAGCCAGACTGGATGTAACACTTTGGCTACCCAGTTTCCATTAGGCGTAATACTTGAGTCCCTAGCCTTCCAGGCGCAATGAGGGCATTGTCGTTCTCTAGTAGGGGTGTATGTAATACCCCTCATGATTGCTTTAAAAGGATTTGATATACTACTCATATCAATAAGGTGCATCTTCCTTTTAGGGAGCTCATAATCTGATAGTTGTTGGCCCGTGTACGGAGAAAGGTAAAAGGTGCAGAAAGGTAAAAGTGAGATCTCCTATTTATAGGGTCATCGGAAATTGTGCCCCTGCCTAGGTTACAAAAACCTAGGATTGATGGGTTGTGCCTTTTGCGGCGTTCTCGGGAATCAGGCCAAGAAGGCCGCCTTTTTTCCCAACAACTGGGAGGGACACGTGTCAAATGGATATTGGTTCACTTTGGACCTCTCTTAGGGTGACACGTGTCACCTTTTAATAGGTCCACTTGGCATGGGTATTTTTACCCAAAACACCTATAACACTAATCGAGTAGCCCTTATAATATTATCAAAGTAATTAACCCCTAAAAATCTAAAATGTTATAACACTATTGAAGTAACTCATGTTAGACTGAACGTGTAACCCTATAACACTGCCTAAGTAATTCCAATAACACTAACGAAGTAACCTCTTTTGTGCTAGCCACATAGTGTGGCCAACCACATATAAGAGTTTGTGTAATTTAAGGTAAAATTGGTATAAGCCACCTTTTTTGAAAAAACCACCTTTTACGTTTTTTTTTTTTTTTTTACTAAACCACCTTTTAAGTACAAGTTTTTAATGGCACCACCCGTATTTCAAATTTAACGAAAATACTAACGGCGCTGTTAGAGGGGCCCACCAATCTCATGTTTTCCTCTTAAATCCCACGTTTAGTTAGAAAGACTTAAATCCTCCTTTTATAAACTCAACTAATTCATCTCTCTCCTCTGTCCTTCACTCTTCTTTGTCACTCATCCAATTTAATGTTGACAAATTTCTGCCATTGACGCCATTTCTAACTCATTTTCCTTTAATTATTAGATACTTTTTTGTTGGCAAAAGTAAATCATTGGAGAAATGGACAATAACAAGGGTAAAGGCAAGGAATTGGAAAAGATTTATGGCTTATTAAACTGTAGTACGGGGTAAATTTCTTTCTTTATTTTTTAATATTTTTTATTCTAATTTTTGTGGGCTTGTGGCGTTTTGTGTTAATTCATTATTGTATTATATGATTGGTAGATTGCAATTGTTTATTAATTCTTTATTTTTGGGTTGAAGTAAAGAATTATAAACCCTAATTTCATGTATGATACTTTAATCAGTTTGTGTTGGGTTGATTATTGGGCAAAGAAACAAACTTTATTGTTTTCAGTGGTTGTTTTGACTATGTTTAGAGTGCTTAACCGTTGACTTAATGTTTAATTTTTTGGCAAAAAAATATGTGTTAAATGAAAAATCTTTTGGTCATATGATTTTAGGTTGCCTAGTGGGGCAATTGATGCTCGAATCTGGATGGGGAGTTTGATTTTGTAAAAGTGGAGGTTGAGTATGTAGGTGGACAGATGTTTATGGCTTTGACATTGTGGGTTATTGAATTGACTGTGGAATTATTGAGGGAAGAAGTAATGCGTGTAATGAATATAGTGTATGGGAAATCTACACAACAATTCAGTATTTGGTATAGGATGAAGAAGAAAAATTTGACAGTTGGGAGGATGAAAGTGAAGTCTTTGGAGGATATATATAGGATTGTTGATGGTAGGGACAACAATGGGATTGTGACCATTTATGTGTTGTTTGAAAATCCCCCGCCCATGTCACATACAGTTGGGAAGACCAAGGTGAAGTTAGAATAGGGCCTTGATTGTGAGAATAGTGTTGGGCCTTCTAGAAAGCTCACTACAAACATCCCAATGTTTCAACCAGGTAATGAAATTATGTTGATGGGAGAGGGTTGGACTTATTTGCAAGGAACTGCACACACAGTGAGCAACCAACATATTCTCTGCCATTTACTCAAAAAAACCCATTTTGTCCAACAACTTCCAAGTGTGTGGCAAATCTGACAGCTTATCAAGAGCAGCAAAAAAACACCAGCCTTTATGTACAAGCCCCCAACTTAAGCAAAGCTACCTGGAAAAAAACAACCCTTCACTGCCTTTAAACAACCATCAGTTGTTGCATCTCAACCATACACTTTCAAATCAACACCTAGAACAAAACCTTTCCTTCCATCTAAACCATCCATCTCAGAACCACCAACCACAAGACCTCTTTCTCCTAAATCTCAACCTCTTACAATTTTACCAAAAAGAACTACTCCAAGGATCAAAACAGTTGTAAGTAAGGGGAAAAAAGGAAATAAAAAGCAACCTACAGAAGAGGAGGACTGGAGTGGGGAAGGGGATTGTTCTGATGATTCCCACTGCAGTGATCTTGACGTAGAGTTTGATCCTGAAGAAGAAGATCTGACATCAGATGTAGAAGACAAGGAGATTGCCAAGGAAATTATAACACAAGTCAATGCAATTGTGAAACTTGGAGCACAACCACAGGGCAAAGAAGTTCAAAGGGAAGACGTACGAAAGTAGAAGTAGAAGGGCCAGAATACAGTGAAAAGCAAGAAAGGAGAAAAGTTGAAAAAAGTTCAAAATAAGGAAGATCTGATTGATTCATATGGGGTTGGAGAAATTGACTTTTGATTCTGATGAGCTGAGAAGCGTTGATGGTTTTGATGAAGAGGTAGATTCGTATCCCACTTTTAATCCTCTTGTTGACTTCATTAAGCCTATAGATTTGAAGAGAGGTTTGAAATTCAATGATGTTTATGTATTGAGAAAAGCTTTGACAGCACATGCCATTGAGAACCACTACGATTTTTACACTTTGAAAACACATTCACTAAAGTAATAGCCTACTGTAGACACAAGTGTAAATGTCCTGGGATTTGAAACATGGTAGAATAACTCTGTGTCAGTGTGAGGAAGAGTATAAGTGTCCATACAAAGTGCTTGCTAGGAAAATGAAGAACACTAGCACCCTTCAAATCAAAACTATTAGGTTAGAGCATAACTGTGGATGGCAACAAATAAATTCAAGGGTCACATACATGTATTTGGTAGAAAGGTATGTTGAGTTTTGGAGGGCAAATCCTAATTTTATTTTAAAGGGATTTATTGAACTTGTGAGGAGGGATCTAGGGGTTGAGATAAAATATATTAAGGCATGGATGGCTAGGGCAAGGTCCAAGTTACAAATTTATGGGGATTCAAGTGAACAATATGCTAAGGTCTTTGATTATGGTGATGTAATTCTTAAACACAACCCTGGAAGCACAGTGAGCATAATTTGTGAGGGTGTTGAGTCTGGTTCCCCTATTTTCCAAAGGATGTATGGCTGTCTTGCTGCCTGCAAAGAAGGATTTCAGGATGGGTGTAGGCCAATTATAGGAGTGGATGGATGTCACCTGAAAGGGGCCTACCCAGGGATGATACTAGTTGCTGTGAGTAAAGATGGGAATAACCAAATCTTTCCCATTGCTTAGGCAGTTGTTGAAGTGGAGAACAAGGAGAGGTGGAACTGGTTCTTTGATCTGTTAATTGCTGAGATAGGATTCCCACTTGGAGAGGGACTAAGTGTCATGAGTGAGAGACAAAAGTAAGATTTCAATTACTTTCTCCTCTTTCTTCTTTGGAACTGAATTTACACCTATTGAAAACATAACAATATTCCATGTTCAATGATTTGTCTGTATAGGATTTCCTAGATGTCATAGCCACATGTGTGCCTAAAGCAGAGGTTAGATTTTGTGTAAGGAACATATGGGAAAATTTTAAGTTGCATTTTCCTGGTCAAGCATTTAAAAAGAGTTTTTGGTATGCTGCAAGAACAAGTTCCAAGGTAAGCTCCATGGTCTTTGATGCTTTGATTATGAATTAAAGAAGTTATTTACCTAAGAATAATAAGTTATGATTGATTGCATGATTGTGTTGATAGAAAACATTTGATAATCAACTACAAGGCATCAAATTCTTGTCAGAAGATGCATTCAAGTACCTAGATGCCATACCTCCTGAGCATTCGGCAAGAAATGCTTTCAAGCCAACCTCAAATTCAATATGCTTCTCAACAACCTGTGTGAAACATTTAATGGGGTGCTCAAAGAAACAAGAGACAATCCCATCATCACATGCATGGAATGGATAAGAAGATATGTGATGAAGAGGACTTATGAGAAGCTACAGTTTGGGGAAGGCATTAACAACATATTCATGCCTTATGTTGACAGAGTTCTTGAATGGGTTGCAAAGGAGGCTCAAGAATGCACAATAATTCTAGCAAGCAGGGATTTGTGGGAGTTTGGATATAAGGAAGACACCTTGGTGGTGAATCTCAAGGACAGAACATGTTCATGCAACAAAAGGGGGTTGACAGGAATCCCTTGTGCACATGCATTTGCGTGCATTGTGAAAAGGAGGGAGAATCCAAACAATTATGTCCATCCTTATTACTCCAAGGAAACATACATCAAAGCTTATACCCCACATGTTAATCCAATGCCTGGAATGTGCCATTGGGAGGAAACTGACAACATCAAACCACTGCCTCCACTTATGAGTAAGATGCCAAGGAGGCCATCTGACAAGAAAAGAAAGAAAGAGTTCATCAAAAGAACAAAAAGGCAAAACAGTTGCTCAAACTATGGTGGGTTAGGCCACAATAGAGTGAAATGCAAAAACCCACCTATGGACAAGCCATTGAAGAAAGTTGGCAGACCACCCTCTATGGATATGTGGACTGTTCAACAAAGAACTAAGAAGAAACTCATAAATGACATTGTGCAGGTATAGTGTGCATACAATTAGTTAAATGCCATAATGTTTTGCAATATATGTTAGTGCATTATATTGTTTATTGTTCTTAATTTTATTATACATGCTGCCCTTGGCTCACAAGTAGCTTTAACTAGCAATGTCCAATCAGATGCTCCTAAAGCATCTCAATCCACTCAACAAAGCCAATCTTCATCAAGAAAGCCCAAAAAATCAAACGCACAAGTTCAGATACCTAAGCTTCTTGTGAAGTCCAAAGCAAAGAAGAAGAAGCTAACTGACTTAAAGTAATTTGATTATGTACATTATGGTCATAAGTACCACTATCTTATTTGATCTATGTGGTTAGGTACATTTGGAACAACTTAATATATGTTTTTCATACATATGTTTGTGACTGCAATGGGCATTGCCCTTGAGCTTTATGTCACTTGTAATGACTGATTTACAGGTTTGTTGCCCTGTGATATGCTATGGTATTTTGCTCCTCATGAAAGATTCATGATTACCCTTGTTTAGTTAAATGCCAATGGCAATTTTAGCTTAATAACAGTAACTACCAATGTTAATTTCATAAATCAAATTCATAACAGTAATACATGTAGGGTTGTTTCTCACTAAATTGCTTCAAATAAGAGTTACAATACAACAACCCCTAATGCTACATAAAGTACACAATCTCTTATAACTTCGGCTAACAAAAATCAAATAAATAAAAACAAATAAACCGCACATTTTCTGCTCCAAAATACCTAAAATCAAGCACCAAAACATTCCATCATCATCCCAACCCTACAATAGTTAAAGACCCTAATATAATCCCAAATTAAGTCAATTTAGAGAAGTACAAAATCATAATGAAAATTAAAGCTAAGACAAACCCAATTGCAACTGAAATCCCATAATTCCCTTTAACCTTAGCCTTCTTCTTCAATAATGTTGCCTGCATTTTTTCCTTTTGACCTTTCAATTGTTGGACATCCTTTAAAATATTAGACTTCTGGTCTTTTGTGTTGCACACTTGCAACTTCAAATGATCAACGTGTCTTTCCAACAGCTTCTTCTCTAGCAACAACTAACTAACTGATTGATGACTTGTCCCTACCACTCATTCATAGTATCATCCACCCACGTAAATGTGTTGCATCCATTCAACCCAATTCTAGGATTGTAAAATTTACAGCAGACAAATCGCCTTCTAGGGTTTCGTGTGGTCCATGATTGTTTCTGGCCAACAGGAATTCCACATTTGCAGAATTTTGGGACCTCCATAGCTGATTGGTAAGAACTCGACATCTACCAACACAAACAAAAAAGGTATTAATAACTTCATATTTAAAGGCAAAAAAAAAGGAAAAAAAAGAAAAACTGAAATGGGGATGTTCAATTACCTTAGGGCTTCAGATCTTCAATTACCTTAGGGCTTCAGATCTAATAATAACTTTAGATTTTTTTAGAGCTTTACTCATCAACAGATTCAAGCATTAATATACAGAGGAAGGGTTGAATGTTTTGGGAGGGAAAAATACATGATTTAGGAGGGAAAAGAAAAGGTCGTGGGCCCCTCTAACGGAGCAGTTAACTTTTTCATCAAATATTGAATACGGGTGGTGTCATTAAAACTTTAGGTACTTAAAAGGTGGTTTAGTAAAAAAAAACATAAAAGGTGGTTTTTTCAAAAAATTTGGACAAAAAAGGTGGTTTATACCAATTTTACCATAATTTAATACATATATAAATGTTGTTTAGTTCATTTTCCCCTATTTATATCTCATTCAAGTTTATTCAATTTCCAACCCTTCTTCTCCTTTATAAACTATTTAATTTTCAATCAAATTAAAAACAAACTGTAAATAAAACAAAAGATTACATAACATACCTATGAGCATCTCGTGCATTGCACAAGTCAAAAGGCTAGTATTAAGTAAAAAGTAATGAATGTGAGAAGAAAAAAAATTAATCTAATATTATATAAATAAAGGAGATATTTTTCGGAACCATACGGCGAACCACATAAGAAAAATTGTTATTTCGACCAATGAAAAACTAGAATTATGTTTTATTTTATAATTAAAAATTTCATTCACCATCTAAGATTAAGTAACAAATGGGGTTTGAGAATTTAACTGGTAAAAACACAACAAATAAAAATTTATGAATCAAAATATTTAAAAAAAAAATAAAATTTACCTTTTATATTAGGATTTAAATTTTTAAAAAAATAAATTAAAAATTGAAAAAATATATTTTTCGACATTAATGATTCAAAAAGTTTATTTGTTCATATTTTATAAAGAAATATTCATTTTATATGCACTAAATGTTCTCAATAATAAAATACACTAAATGTTCAGTTTATATTATAATACTATTGAATTATTATGAGTGAGACAAATTTTTTTCAAAAAGTTGATGTTCATTATATAGTGTTGTGTTCATATTTAAAATTTTAATGTTCATTTTCAACTAATAAATGTTCAAATTCGAATAGTTTCATTCAGATGCTCATTATGAAATAGTGTAATGATTATATTTAAAATTTTCAATGTTTTTTTACCAAACTAAATGTTCAAATTCTAATAGTTTCATGTTCATATTTTAAAAGATAGACAGCGAAAGAATCTTGTGACACATTTTCTACCTGTTAAATTTTGTATTTTATTTTGCTACCACCTAAAATCACAAAATTAAAATTTCACTACCACGTAACGGAATCCGTTAAGGTTCCGTTAAGTTTAATAAAAAAATTAAAATTAAAAAAAATTAAATAAAATAACATAAATTAACCCAGCCACCCTTAACTGCCAACCGTCCACCTCACTGTTACCCCTCCCCCCTGTCGACGGCCGGCGCCCAGAGCTTCGGTTGGCGCTGACACGACCCACCCCCCTCCCTCTCCCCCACCCTACGCAGCCAACCTCCCCTCCCTTTTCCCATTCTTGCTGCCCGACTCCCACCCCAAACCGGAAACCACCTATTTTCCTCTTCCCCACCAAAATCGGCCCCCTCCTTGTTCTCTCCACCGAAATCAACCCCCTTCCCCTACCTAAAGCTGTCAAAAGCTGACCCGACTTGAAATAACGACCCGAACCCGATTATTAACCGACCCATCTGAACCCGAAAAAATTGTGACCCAAACCCGACCTGAAACCAACCTTAGACCCGAATTGACCCGATTATGTGAGACCCAAACCCGAACATGAACCGACTTGGAGATGAGCTAACCCGAATGTAACCCGTAAATTATTGACCAAAATCGAACCCGACTTGAACTGAAATTGATCCAAACTTGTTTTAACCCGTCAAAACCTGAATTTAACCCGACTTGTTACTAACCCGAACATAATTCAACCCGACTTGTTCTTATCCCGACCAGTTACTAACCTGACTTAAAAATCAACCCGACCTGAAATGTACCCGACTTGTTATTGACCAGACCCGAATTTTACCCGACCTATTACTAACTCGACCCAAAAACTCTACCCAATCTGTTACTAACCCGACTCGAAATCAACATGACTTGTTATTGACCCGATTTAAATTCAATCCAAACTGTTCTTGACCCGATTTCAAATCACTTTAAATTCAATTTAGATGACCTTATTATTGTTTGATCAAAGCATTTTATCCAGAGAGGTCAAGTCGGTCCAACCAGCAAATGAAAGGAGCATAATCCCCAAATTTAGCAGTTAAATATAGTATATATTAGTTGTATGCTCAAAGGAGATAATTATCTTCCTAAATTATAAGATATAACTCCCTAGTATGTTATCATATATATTATAGTCAAAGAAAATAATTAGCTTGATAAATAAGATAATTATCTATTTATAATTAGTTGAACCTGAATATGACCCGACTTGGAAATGACACGACCTGATTGTAACCCCTAAATTATTAACTGGAACATAACCCGACTTGAACCCGAGAATGATCCGACTTGGAAATTTCCCAACGTGATTATAACCCGCAAATTATTGACTTCAATCGAACCCAACTTGAACTCGAGAATGACCTGACTAGGAAATAACTTGACCTGACTATAACCCGCAAATTATTGAATTGAAACGAACCCGACTCAAACCTAAAAATGACCCGACCAAATTCTAACCCGCAAATTATTGACCTGAATCGAACCCGAGAGTTACCCTAACCCTTTTTAACTCGTGAAAACCCGAATTAAACTTGACCTATTGTTCACCCGATCCTAATGTAACCCGACTTGTTATTAACCTGACCTAAACCAGACCCAAACTCGATAAGATGTATGACTTGCCGTGACCCGAATCAAACATGACCCAACCCGAACCCGACCTGCATAGGTTAAGACATTAAGTTGACCTGACCCAAGTTGACCTGAACCACTTTTAGTACACTATATGTTCACGAACGGTTCGTGAACAACTCGTTTAGTCAACGAGTCTTTCATGAACAAACTTAATAATAATTGAGGTTCTCCAATAAATGAGCTTTGTACTTTTTGTTTCGAGGTTTTTTGTGTCCCTTGGGAGAGTTACAGCTCAAGACTGGATTCAGCAAGAACGCCTGTACCTGCAAAACAAACGGAGCACCGAATGGTCGGTGGTCCGCCTCCGAAGATTAAGTTAGTATGGATTCAGAATAAAATGTGCGGAATTGAAGTTTATCTGCTCGGATTCCAAGCTCAGGTGTTGTCTGTTATGACAGCTGGGTAATGATTGGAAAAGGTAACGTCCCCGCATAAGTGAGGGGAATGTCCCTATTTATAGGGACCTTGTAAAGTGTGCCCTACCCTAGGGTTTGATGACCTAGGGATTAGGGCAGCGCCGTTTTGCGGCGCCCTGGAAGTTTGGGCATTGAAGGCTACTATTTAAAGGGAGGGATATTTGAGTGACACGTGTCACACATCTGGAGGGTCCATTTGGACACCTCCCAAGGCGACACGTGTCGCTCTCTCATTGGTCCACTTGGGATAATTAAATACCCTAAATCATTTTCCCTTCACAAGTGTCACGTGGCATGCCACGTGGCGCCTGTGACAGGTGTCGACCTCTGATTGGACGAGGATTTACTTTTACTGTTCACCTGAATCTAGGGTTTTTACCCTGGATCATTTATCCCCTCTATAAATAGAAGGGTTGGCCTCCTTTGGATTCACACTTGCGTGAATCTTTGGGAGAATCTTTGAATTTTTGACTTTCGAAGACTTTTGACTTCTTCAACATCCAACACTCGGCCAGCTCGTCTGCCTGTTCGAACAGACGTCCCTGACCAGCGCCTCTTAGTACCTTCTTCTAAGGTAACCGCCTGATCTTTTCTTTACTTTTTTCTTTGCATTTTTCTTTTTAAAAAATGGTTTCCCAAACGCACTCGGCACAACCTAGATTAGCGATCAGCCGGTCACCGGGGACGGCTGAATCTAGAACTAGGAGTGTCGAATGCTCGTTCGAGAACTACCCTTTGAGTACATCTTCAAATCCAACAATAATGTCTGTGCCCCTGCAAGACACGATGGCTAGAACAAAGAAGATGACCAAGAGATATAGGATGGATGGTTCTTGGTACCATTCAGAAAGTGGGACAGTCTTCTTGGATGGCTCCATTAGGGCACCTATCTCCGAGATTAGTAAAGACCCCCCTAGCAACATCAGCACTCCAAGCGACTCATTTCAATAGGAGTGTGATGAGGAATATGGAACCCCTAGGCCGAGTGGATCTATAATCCCACGTATTTTTGAATATGTTATAAATGAAATTTAATTTTATTTATAATATTGTTTTGTATTTTTCCGTAATTTAATTTCTAAATATTCAAATTATTAATTTGGGTCAAAAATTATTTTGGTACAAATTATTTTATGAACCTTCATTCTATAATTTATTTCAATACAACTAAAGCTTAGTCCATTTCATTCATTTGGCCCATTAATTTTATGAGGCCCAATCTTTCTATTTACCCTACAACATTCTCTCCTATAAATACCCCATGAATCCCCAAAAATTTCCCACACAAAAAGGTTAGTCTTATTTTCTTTCTCCTTTGTTTTATTAATTTGTGTAATTATAATTATTGATTATGGGTTTTAATTTTATTGTTTGAAAGTAATTTAATTAGTATCAAGTTGTATTTTGATGATTAAATTTGATAATTTCAGATTTTATAAATGTCATAATTTTCAGATTTTGTAAATTTTATAACCTAGGGTTTTTAATTATTGAAAATCATGATTTTAGGGCTTTTATGAACAATTGATTTAGGGCTTTTATAATGATGTTTTGAAATTTTGTTGATTATAACTAATGATTAGTTTAACTTAATTCCAGATTATTTTGAACATGTAAATTCGTGTTTTAATTTTTAGATTTTCGTTCG